TTTTTTTTTAAAAAAAGGTTAATAAAGTAAAGCACAAGTACCTCAAACTGTATAAGTACAAAACTTAATTTTAAAGTTAAAGTCCACCACTTATTTTCAATAATTGTTATTGTGAGGAACTTTTAAGGCCTTGTTAATTCACCACTAACTTAGTCTCCAGCCAAGTGGGTAAAGTCTGTCAAATAACAGAAAATAAAAATGTAGTAGGCTTCATGTATTAAAGTTATTGGAGTTATATTATATCCCACTCTCTTTTTTACATGAACTCTTGGTCCCTGTTACCTCAGTGCAATGCTCGGACATGTTGCATCAGGAAGTTTCTCGAACGAGCCGCTCAGTCCCGCCCACACGTGAGGCAGCTCAGCTGATGCAACGGCTGCTCTCCGGGTATAAAAGCTCCGCGCGCACCGCTCACGGCTGCTCAGCTCAACCACCTCAATACATGGATAAAATACAGACTAGCCGTCCGGAGGAGACACGGGAGCTTCACAAACCTGAATCAGGATGGTCTATACCACGGCTTTACTCTTTGGACACGGAGTGCCCGTCAAGTCGGAGGAAGAAAGTGTCGTTGAGATGATAGGAAAGTATTTCCTCCAGCTCACATCCCCGGGCTCCAAGACCAGCTCAGCCCGACGGGGGAGCGTCGAGAGCTGCGACGAGACAGACAACAACTCGCCTTGTAAGTTGTTTTAAAAGTTTAACGTAGTTTTGAGCATGATAGACAACAAGAAACGGCAAAAAGTTGTTCATTAAAACAGAGTTTTGTTAGTACCCAGTTCTAATTGGCCGAGTCACTTTTAATCTTTAATATCAATGCGCTAACTTTAAAGTAGCCTAATCATAATGACATAGGTACTGGAACTATATGATACGGCGGAAGAACAAATTTATTAACTGATCTCCCTGATGAGGAGGATGTTCCTGGTGTAACTGATGCAGGTCTTGGATCAGCTGATGACCTGCTGAGGTGCTCACACTGCTTCTCCTCTCAGCTGCTGATACAAAGCCTGTAGTCTGATTACTCATGCAGTTCAGTGTAGTATTGCAACACATGTATCACGTGTTAAAAGTAGTGACCATGGTGAAATGATAGTGCAAGGGTCAAGCTCCTGCTTTATGATGACTCATTGGAGTTCGATGCTTGCAGTGGTAGCAATTTAAGTATCAGTGTAGACATTACTTCTATTAACAATGCACTGGCTGTGACATAATGCCACATATTCTAACAACACTCCTGATCTCTCTCTACAGTTGATAACATGGACGCTGGTTTGGAGCGTGAAGAGCGGTTCCTGCAGCTGGACGTGACCCGGCAGATAGAGCACTGTCTGACAGAAGCCAAAGCGTCCACCCTCCACTGCCAGATGCTGCTGCTGCCTCGCCAGATGACCACCAGGGTCGGGCAGGACGTGGTGCGCTCCTCTGTTGATGAGCCCTGCGGGCTCCGGGGCGCCTCCATCAAGGTCTACGTGGAGGGCAAAGATGGCCTGAAGTCTGTGGGGAGCATCTTCGTGGACCCGAGTGTCACCCCGACATTCGAACTGTCTGTGATCTTCAAGGCAGACAAGGACGACGGCTGGCCGCCGCTCAAGCACATCTTTGAAACCAACAAAGTGTTGAAGCTGAGACCAGAGTACAGGCTGGTTAAGAGGAAGCTCTACTCCTCAGCCAGCCCTGTCATTCACGATTTCAACTAGGGGGAAGTTAAGAAAGCAAACCCCTGTCTCACTGGTTGCCTCTTTTTTTTGTGTGAATGTTATTCTCAACTTTAGCTCAAGTATCAGGCTACAGGTTTGGTCTGGACTGCACTGGAAATACTGTCCTGTCTTTTTTTTTTTTTAGCTCCAAGGAAGTGGACTGTTCTTTGTTCATGTATGAATGTCTAACTTGGAGCAGGAGGCCAGACTACTTGTTTTCTACACTCTGTAGCCAATAAGAGTATTTTGCACAGAATGGTTGAATGTTAAAAGTGTACACTGTAAACATGAAAACTTCCCTCCAGGACTGGGCGGGTCTCACTCCTGACGTGTGCTGTACTTTTGTTATTTATGCAAATGTGAAATAAATTTTTTTACACTACAATTTCTTTGTCCTGTGCTTGCAGTCACTTTTATAAAGTTATACGTAGAGTATACTGTAGGTCATTGTTTTTTTTTAAACTTAAATACAGGTGTGCCTTGAGATTTAAGTTTTATCTGTGCACAATGGCCTTTATAATGTTACCACTCTTAGAACGACATAAATTTTTAATTGACTAATATCAAATAATTGTCAGGAAGTGTCAGGAAGAGGAAAATACTGAATTTGTATTTAAAAAACAGCCTATCAAGAATGTTTAACATACATAATACAGAGAGTAGTATAAAACATTTCTAAAAATATAAGGAAAACCCATCTCTGATGCAATATGCACATGAAATAATGTGCTCAAAATTCATTAAAATTGCCCAATTAAACAAACTTCCTGCAGTTCTTGTGTTCTCTATTTGGGTTAATTGTACAGAATATAATATCTGTTACTTAGTCAGGGGTTGTCAGTTTACTCAAGGATAGAAAAGGTTTCCCTTAAGGAAAAAGTTTGAGAACCACTGCTGTAGGAACTTATGTGCACTGCAAACATGCTGTTTGTCCCTCATACTCATGACATCCGCTGCTAACAGCAATGGAGCCTGATACTTTGGCGTACACAACTTATTAAGTTTCAAGTTGTTTACAAGTGAGGGAAAATGATTACACAAGGTTCAGTGTGCCAGATTATTTAAGACACTGAATGCAGCTGGTGGCAGCACATTTCCAAAAAGCTGATGCTGGAAGTCAGTTTGCAAAAGTAAAGTAAAATAATCAAGATAAAATAAATTCCACAGTGAGTACACAACTCTCATCTTTAGGTTTAGATCAAATAATCTTTTTATTTAACAAATGTACAACAGAACACATACATGTATCAGCTATCCAAACACAAAACTCTACATGATCCAGCTCACAGGTACAAAACTTATTTTTGTACTCTCATCTAACACACATTACACAAACATGTTTTTTTATGCTATCTACGTAGCACACTCTGGCTACATCCTAAGTAACACATAGGGATGCATCAATACTATTTCAGCAACAACAAACATCCTACGTTTCAGCCCACTGACACACTCAGTGAGACGCCTGCATTGTACATTACAGGTGGAGGTTAAGATGATTCATCAAGTGAACAATTTGTTGACTTACTGTGTGTTGTTATATCATTGTTACATGACAAAGCAGGTACAAACTGTTTAAAAAACTCTGTTGGTGCTTTCAAAGACACTCGGACATCTGAGCTTTTAAAACCTGCTGGCAAATGGCAATCTTTTACATGCCAAAAAAACCCCAATATGCATTTCACCACTTCCATAATAGCATGGATCCTGGACTTTGAAAACATACTTTGTCGATTTTCAGATGCAGAGACTGAAACTGGCCTCAGCAGCACCACACCAGAGTTTTCTTGCGTGACTGACCCATAAAAACAAGGTGATTTTGCAGGCAGTAGCCTATTTTCTTCTGGGTTTCAGTTCTGGGTTAAACAAAGACCATGCAGGTCAGATCACAGGTGTGAGATGATACATATAATAAAATAAATGAAAGCAAAAGTAATTTTATCCAATGTTTTAACACTAATTCTCTGACTGTTGATTTTGTGTCTAGAATATGAGAGCTGCTTCAATCAGGTGTGACACTAATAGGCACGTCAAGTGTGGAGACGTGCTGCTCTATTTGAAAATGAGCGAAGAATTTAAGTTTAAATTGTATTCCATGAATTACCTTTGTTTTAAAAATACATTTAGCTGGTTTCACGTGTTTCAAATGTCCCAAAATGATCAATTTAAAAATGTTGTCTAACTGATTTTTTTAAACAGTGCATGGTTATTGTGGGATGTGTGGTTTGGGGCTGGGTTGCGCATCTTGTGTCGACTGGTTGGGTCATATGTGCATGTTCCAGAGTGGGTCTGGGAAAAATCAGACCCGTGCAAGACTCTATACCACACACGATCTACGTAATGAAAAGCAACAAATTGTTTACTGTGACTGATTACATATGTCAGCTGTAATGGAAGCTCACACCTGCATGAGGGTCGGTAGTGAAACCTAAAATGTGCTTTGGAAATAGGTCAGCGTAAATGTAAAGTATATGGAATTTGTGGTTGATGAACCAAAACAGACTGAAACAAGCAAAAACACTGGTATGTTCCTTTAAGTACTGGCCAACAGACTGGAGTCTTCTGATACGTTACTAAACAAAGCAGACATAAACAACCAGTTTAGTGACATCATCAGATTTTCTTAAGTGAATCTCACTCTAACATTTTAGCAGTGATCAAACTGAAAGAAGTCTTGATTCTGGCTGGTGTCAGCCTAACATGCAGTGCTAGCAATTTGTGGAACTGTACATTGTGATTTGTCATGTGGCCATCCCGGTTGTTGTTGCCGTCTGGTGTCTTTTCAGCCCACACAGATCAATCAGCTAGTATTAATGCATCCACGATTCAACATGATCAAATCTGGCGAGTAGAGCTCATCCTGCGCTTCATCATTTGATCCCAAACAAACGTTTGCTGGTGAAAATGTTCTCTCTCTCTGTCTCACAGTTCTTCGCTGCTCTGTCTCAGCAGAGGGAAATGATGAACTACTACCTTTGCTGGTGAAATGATACTTGGGGAAAGTGGAGTGAAAGCCAACGGCACGGCACATAAACCAATCATATGAACTGGAGAAGAAGCTCTGTGCAGCCCTCTCAGACACACTGACAGACAGACATACCCATCCAGACTGTCTACACAAAGACTGCACAGTCCTCTTCAGAAAACGACCAAAGTGACCAGTAAGTATTCAGCTCCACCTTCTCTGAGTGACTCTTTGTCTCTCCAAGTGTCTCGTTCTCTGAAATCTCATTTCTATTTCTTCATTTTGAGGTCAGCCTCCATGGCACTACGGCGACCCCTGGTGCCTCCGTCCTGCAGCAGAGTGACAGACGAGGAGAAGCAGGGAGAAAGTAACAGAGAGAGCCAGAAAGCAAAAATCACATGAGGATGTAAAAGTCAAAGGTCAGTTGGAGTGAGTGAAGAGAGGCCCGTCGGCGGACCTCCTCACGCGACTGAGCTCTGCACAAAAAACACAGCACAGTCCACCTCGGAAGGCTTCCTCCCCAAATGAAGAACAGAAAAAAAAAACGATGATGATCAAAATTAAAGGAAGAATTCAAAAGAAAAGAAGGAGAAAAGAAATTAGAACATGCAGAGACACAGACAGTCGCACGTGAACAGAAAAACACAGGAAACCAGCATGGGGTCATTAACCGAAGGTCGACGGAAGCTTGGGTGATGAAAGGTTACCTGAGCTTGTGTGTATGTGTGTATGGTGAGGATATTGTGTCAAAACAGAACTTAAAGTTTATGAGGGTGGCACGGACAGTGTGTGTGTGTGTGTGTGTGTGTGTGTGTGTAACTGTCAGAGAGAGGAAGAGTGAGAAACAAAGACGCCCTTTCATTGTTTTCCACACAACACAGCTGCACATGGCTGAGTGCTGAGGGACTGGTTCTTTCTTCTTCAGTACTGCTGAGTATTTGATACTAAAGTTTAGTACCTTAATGGTCGTCTTTCACCTTGTCATCACAGCTGTTGTAAAACCTGATAGACCAGGTAACTATTAAAAACAAAGAATCATTAGAGAAACAGTCCAGAGTCCAACATGTCTCAAGTTAAAGAAGTTGCGTCATGTTTGACTGACAGGAAATCAAAGAGAAAACAAATACAATCTCATGTAAAGGCCATAAAACCTATATTACATTATTATTAAGTTACATTTTTGGTTATTTCACATTTAATATTTGTGTATTTGTGTATACTTTGGTCTGAGCTGGTTTAAAGTGACTGTGGCTCAGCTCAAAAAAGGTGATGTCACATACTTCTATTCACCAGTCAGGATTGTTAAACTCTTAAAAAAATACATTATTTATTTCCAACTTTTACTTCCAATTGATTCCCAATCTTTTGTCATGTCAAGGGCCCCTATACTGATATGAGTGATGTAAGTTTTAGTTAACCGTGCTTTTGAAAGGCCAAAACCCATTAAACAGTAACTGCACAGTTCAAAACAAGAAAAAGGAAATATAAGAGGTCTTTCCTTTGGTCCAGCTCTCCACTGTGAGCAATAGTGCTGAATTTTGAAGTGCTATCCAATAAGTGGTGGTTAAAGCTGAATGTTTTCTGATGTAAATATCTTTCCTTTTATTTTAATTCTGTTGGCAGCCGGCCAGTCGCATTAACGTGTGGGAACATGCCCACTGCCCACCCTCTAGTCTCCCCTGGTTATTGGCCGCGCTGCATTGCACACAATCCGGGTTGGGAAGGAGCTAACTTTAGCTAGCTAGCCGCACCACTTATTCAGTGATTAGAACTCAAACCTCATCCTGGTGGCAGAACGCGTTGCTGTGGAAATATTGTGCCCACCCTCAGGTGAGTAAATGGCTTTAATCTGAACCGTATAACCCCTTTAGCATTATTTACTATATTAGCTCTACTGGCCATGCTGACAGTAAAAAGAAATTCTAGAGGGGTTTTATATCTCACAATTGAGCCTCTTACGCAACAGGGTGAGCTAAAGGGACACTAAAGGGTGGAGGGCAATGTTTCTACAGCAATGCTGTTGGGTTGGGACCCTGGGTGTATTAAGGGACAGCATTACTACCAGTAATGGCCACATGAGTGGTGCCGCTAGCTAGCTCCTACCAGACCCAGGTGGTGTGCAGTGCAGTAAACTGAAGAGCAGCAAAATTAACCCATATTCTCTGCAGTTAACAGATTAAAGGTTAATTGTTGCCATCCCTAATTGATACAGATTAGGTCATGGACCTCTATTTGATGAGATTTACCTTCAGGGACCTCCATCTGAAAAGTTTTGGGTTATTAGATTAAGACTGGAGTTCGACAGCTGCCAATACAGATGATGAGATAAGAACTCTTACGTCTCTAACTCACATTAGGTTTACTTGGAACCCCCTGGAACTCCCTCAAGGACCCCTGAGGACCCCTGGACTCCTGGTTGAAAACACCTGCTTTAAATCATATTAACTTAGACTTTAAATTAGGAGAAATCACTCTAATGACTCTGTACTAGTTTTATTTCTGGAGCAGTTATGTTTCCTTAATGCCACTAAAATCAAACTGAATCGAGAGAAAGAAAAGAGATGAGAGGTACAGACAGATGTGTACATATCATGTTACGTGTGTGTGTGTGTTTGCGTTGAGACAAGCGTGTGCGGAGCGTGGCCTGGTTCTGGTGCAATCTGAGGGAGAACCTGAATACTTACAAAAAGAGAGAGAAGGAAAGCAGGAGAGGCCATTGGGACACTGTCCTGTAGGAGGACAAACATCGGAGTGAGAAAGAGAGAGAAAACACACACATGTGCGTGAGAAAGCAAGTTTCATACAAGTCGGCGAAAAACACAGAAGCACGCTGAGGTACAAGCGTCCAATCGACCGCTGCACGGCACATACACACACACAAAAAAGACAGACACTCTCATATGCAGATAGTACACAGTGAGATTATAAACAGACAGATACACAGACATAGACATAAACACACCTGAGACAATCAGGCACGTACATGAGCAGGAAAGCACACTCTCACACACACATACACATCTTTAAGGCAGCTCACAAACACCACACCACAGTTCCCATCATGGCTCCTATGAAAAATATCATGACTTCTGTTCAGTCGCAGCACCTAAACGGATGTTACTTGTATTATTGTTTAGCTAAGTAAAGTCCTAAAAAGGATGTGACAGTTTAATGTCATCCCCAGTTTGCTATGGAGAAGGAGACGAATAAAAGATTAAAACATTTATGACATTTGTGTCGCAGTTTGTTAAATACATTCTGTAGAGTAAACTATTCGCAAAATTCACCTATACTTCTGAACTTTCTACGACAATGTTGCAAACTCCCAGATATCCCCTGTCTGGAACTCATATTTCTAAATTCCATGCTACTTCAAAAATGCCATGACTGACAGGAACCCTGTTAGACACACACACACTCACACATACACACAAGATTCCCACAGTCACACAGTTAAGAGAAACTAATACACTCATACAAACAGCAGCAAATATGAACATTTTTGCGGACGATAACAGACAGACAGACAGACAGACAGACAGACAGACAGACAGACAGTTGAGTCAGTGACAGGCAGATGCAGACAGACAGAAGTTAGTGAGGAGAGGTGCAGCCAGCATGCAGGACATGAATCAGCAGGGAAGTCAACACCAGGAATTATTCCACTGAAGCACATCGTAGCGAGCCGAGAGGAGACAGACAACTGCACCGTGTTGTCTTAAGTGTCCTGTGTATTCAACAGTGTGCATGTCTGACTGGCATGATGCTCATGTGAATGCAGGTATATTACATGTAATCAGTGTCAAGCTTTTGAGAGATTGGCACAATGGTCAGCCTGCATCACTAGCCATGTTTCATTTTAGGTGTCAAGAAAAACTTTTCTGAAGTGAATAAACTAGGCTAAGCAGAGATAATTTTGCTTAACGCATGGCTGTAATCGCCAGTAAACAGAGCAGGAGTAGAGATTGCGAACCCGAAACAAAACAAGTCCTCCTGGCCATCTAACTATCTACAAGAGAAAAATGGAGAGTCTTTCAGGAATTTGTTTCAACTGGGGAAGTTTTAATTGTTCTTTCATGTCAGCCAGTACTGGCCACGTCTCATGTTGTTCAGAGACAAAGGAACATTTTTCGTTATGGGAATATCTGGAAAAACCCAGAAACTGGAAACAGCTGATCAGTCATGTGAGTTTAATGTTTGGTACATCAGAAATGTTCCAAAAAGGTGTTTCCATATCCCATTTAGTACATCAACGATTTCTGCCAAAGCAAAAAACAACTTTTTTTAACTACTTTTTTTTGTGCATTTGAGGAAGTTTGATCAGATGTTGGCGTTTCCATACAGCTTTTCTAATGCTATACTTCAAATGCACATAAAAATATGTCTATGGAAACATGGCTACTGGCCCAGTTAAGTCACACTTATATAGCTCAGTAACAGTAGGCTACACAGTAATTAGTGTGGCACGATTCAGCTACAGTAAGATCATAGGATCGACCATATCGGACTTCTCGACAACAACACGGCTCATCTCAAGGGGTGTATCCTAATGAATTAACTTGACAAAATGACAAGACCAAGAGTTTTGTTTCGTAAAGTTGGACAGAGGTTCTTTAAATTCATCAATATAGAAGTGGCATGGATTCAACGTATGTGATTCCTTTTGTATTACTGTTTAATGTGATGTCATGCTGAGTAAAATATCACACTCTTTGCAGAACAGAGGGTGAGACTGTTATTCCTATAATCTGAGGCAGTGCATGTTAGTTATATTCATATTAGCAAATTATCCCGTATTGATGGAGGGGAACAACACACAGACTTTATCAGTGGTGATCAATACTGTTTTAGGATCAATATTACAATCTGTAATACAGCAAGGAATAGAGTTTAAACACAGCCAAGTCAACCCAAAGGCCCTGAATTTGTAATGTGACAGTGCTCTTAAAGTAATCCCTTAAAATGTTTTAAAGGACTTCAATATCAGTCATCATGGTGAATTGAGACATGTAAAGCATTATTCAGGTATCTATTGAGACATACAGTACAGGCCAAAAGTTTGGACACACCTTCTCATTCAATGCGTTTTCTTTATTTTCATGACTATTTACATTGTAGATTCTCACTGAAGGCATCAAAACTATGAATGAACACATGTGGAGTTATGTACTTAACAAAAAAAGGTGAAATAACTGAAAACATGTTTTATATTCTAGTTTCTTCAAAATAGCCACCCTTTGCTCTGATTACTGCTTTGCACACTCTTGGCATTCTCTCCATGAGCTTCAAGAGGTAGTCACCTGAAATGGTTTCCACTTCACAGGTGTGCCTTATCAGGGTTAATTAGTGGAATTTCTTGCTTTATCAATGGGGTTGGGACCATCAGTTGTGTTGTGCAGAAGTCAGGTTAATACACAGCCGACAGCCCTATTGGACAACTGTTAAAATTCATATTATGGCAAGAACCAATCAGCTAACTAAAGAAAAACAAGTGGCCATCATTACTTTAAGAAATGAAGGTCAGTCAGTCCGGAAAATTGCAAAAACTTTAAATGTGTCCCCAAGTGGAGTCGCAAAAACCATCAAGCGCTACAACGAAACTGGCACACATGAGGACCGACCCAGGAAAGGAAGACCAAGAGTCACCTCTGCTTCTGAGGATAAGTTCATCCGAGTCACCAGCCTCAGAAATCGCAAGTTAACAGCAGCTCAGATCAGAGACCAGATGAATGCCACACAGAGTTCTAGCAGCAGACCCATCTCTAGAACAACTGTTAAGAGACTGCGCCAATCAGGCCTTCATGGTCAAATAGCTGCTAGGAAACCACTGCTAAGGAGAGGCAACAAGCAGAAGAGATTTGTTTGGGCCAAGAAACACAAGGAATGGACATTAGACCAGTAGAAATCTGTGCTTTGGTCTGATGAGTCCAAATTTGACATCTTTGGTTCCAACCGCCGTGTCTTTGTGAGACGCAGAAAAGGTGAACGGATGGATTCCACATGCCTGGTTCCCACTGTGAAGCATGGAGGAGGAGGTGTGATGGTGTGGGGGTGTTTTGCTGGTGACACTGTTGGGGATTTATTCAAAATTGAAGGCACACTGAACCAGCATGGCTACCACAGCATCCTGCAGCGACATGCCATCCCATCCGGTTTGCGTTTAGTTGGACGATCATTTATTTTTCAACAGGACAATGACCCCAAACACACCTCCAGGCTGTGTAAGGGCTATTTGACCAAGAGGGAGAGTGATGGAGTGCTGCGGCAGATGACCTGGCCTCCACAGTTACCGGACCTGAACCCAATCCAGATGGTTTGGGGTGAGCTGGACCGCAGAGTGAAGGCAAAGGGGCCAACAAGTGCTAAACACCTCTGGGAACTCCTTCAAGACTGTTGGAAAACCATTTCAGGTGACTACCTCTTGAAGCTCATGGAGAGAATGCCAAGAGTGTGCAAAGCAGTAATCAGAGCAAAGGGTGGCTATTTTGAAGAAACTAGAATATAAAACATGTTTTCAGTTATTTCACCTTTTTTTGTTAAGTACATAACTCCACATGTGTTCATTCATAGTTTTGATGCCTTCAGTGAGAATCTACAATGTAAATAGTCATGAAAATAAAGAAAACGCATTGAATGAGAAGGTGTGTCCAAACTTTTGGCCTGTACTGTATTTTGGTATAAATAGGAGAACCACAATGACCGTATGGCTAGTTCAACACATCTGCCACAACTATGGCAACATGTTCTCTCTATACTGACTGTGTAACATATCTATTCATGACTTTCCACAAAGCATAATTGACCTGTCCTAGAAATAGTAACATTCTGCTCTGTAACAGGAACATTGTTACTGTATATTCCTGTATCTTTACATATTTTACATGGTATTAATCTGCTTTACAAATAACTATCCATCTCTGAGACCACCTTCAAATAATCACATTATTTAAAGCCACACACACACACAGGTGTTTTCAATTATTCTGATTAGACCTCTTCTCTGGTTAAAAGTTGGGTGGAGCTGCTGTATGCATTATATGCAGTTTGTGCTGTGGAACACATATATAGTGGTGGAACACAACTTCAAGTGTTTAAAAAAATGCCTGACAAGAAGTTTAATCTCACAAAGTAAGTGTAACACCTGAGTGAGTGCACTATGGCTGCGTGACTGACTGCAGTAGCTCCTCCATTAGCTGCACGTTCTTCCTGGTTCACTGTTGATATTTTGAAACTCAACGCATTCCTCAGTTGAGGTTCAAACATTAGCAGTCACATTTATTGACTTGAAGGTTTATAGAGTGCTTTATCGAAATCAGACTTGTTTGACACTTTAAAGGGAATTCTAATTTACACCCCAACAAGTCGTCCAACCCACCTTCTCAGCTGGCTCCCCAGGCTTACGGTTTCCTTCCCTGCCGCGGAGGCTCTTGGCGGAGATGGCGCTCTCCGAGGTCTGCATGATAAGCTGGGTGGCCAGGAACTGCTGGACGTGCTCCAAGACGTCACGCTGCATCTCCAGTGCCATGTGGTACACATCGTGGTCCGACGAGTTGTACATGACGGCATTCTGAAACATCAGCATAATGTCGCGCTGGAACTCTGCTGTTGTGCGGATCACGCCGGACTCAATGTTCTTCTTGATGGCTGACAGGTCCATGGGTCTGGAGCAGGATGGATGGTGGGAGGAAGACATGCATTTAATACAAACAATCAACGTTATTTACTATTACTATATTCCACTGTTTAAATAAAGGTCATCACTTTTTGCTCCAATAGAGAATTTTGGTGCAGCATGAATGCACTACAGTCACTTCAGATTCTGTTAGAATACATTCATATGTATGTGCATGTGAGATGTAATTTCACAAAAGGAAGTGAGTGTGTTCTTACCTGTGTACGATGCTGTGGTAACCAGGTGCGATGTCATCTGACACAGGCTGCAAGAAGACACTGGCATACCTGAGCGAAACATAAATTCATGACACTGTAAGACATCAGTTTCCCTTTAACTGCCGGGGGAGGTGATTTTTCTTTAGTGCTTTTGTTCTAGACCAGACCATGCTTTACCATGACTAAGTCTAAAAAAATAAAAGATGAAGAAGAAAAAGTGAACACTAGCATCTAATTTTTGCAACAGTGGGCAAGAAACTTTCAAACGAATGCTATTTTGCAAAGGGGGAACAAAAAAGCAACAAAATGCTGAATAAACAGCTGGAAGACTGTGTTCAGTCCTGATGTTGGCTTATCAGAGTGTCACACTCATTTATGTCCTCGCTTGTGTGTTCCCAACGAATATTTAGCTGTGATTTTAGCTGACATCATGTTTGTCACTCTTTTGTTTGCAGGCTGTATATATACTCAATTTTGACTGTTTTTACGCAAAACTATATTAACACATTCATTAAACTAAACTGAATAGACTGATTTAATACCATCGTGTTGGTAAATGACATTTACAAAGAAACAAAATAAGCTGAATGAATAAATAAATGTGGGAAACATAAATGAATGGACATAATAGCCACTAAAACTGATTGTCCTCTGTTAAATAAGAGTTGTTGCTGTCATGCAACAGCTTAATACAGTCAGGATGGTTTGTGTGTCACTAGAAAAAAACTTTCCGAAACTGACTGTGAGGTATTTCTACAGTATTGTGACAAACAAAGACTTTGTTTATTGTTAAGGTTTAAGCTCCACCTGTGGTTGGCTGCGGCTCTCCACACCAGCATAATGGCTTTCTTCCAGATCTTCTGGGCCTGCACTGCCTCCTGGTCCTCACCACACGTAGATCTGATGTGTAGAGAGAGAGGAAGTGAAAACAGCATGGGAATTAAAAGAGAATTGTTAAGCGTACAGCAATGGAAACAAGAAGCAGAAGAGAAATAAGAAGTAGAAATAATGCACACCCTTAGAATTTTTATGTCAGCAGCCAAAGACTGCTTAGCTCAGAGAAACAGAGTCCTAATTTGATTCAAAGGTCACAATATGAATACTCATGACTAATGCCAGCTAAGCTTTATCTACTTTTAAAGCAGAATTTCTCCCGAAATAGTTGCGGTAAGGGCAGGGGTTATCTTAGGACATGGCCCTGGAGTCACACTTTATATGACATTTTACCCAGCAGACAAAAATGGTTAGCATGACACCCACATCACTATTATAACAGAGATCGTCCTTTCTGCACCCATGAACACATGTGGACACCTACAGCTGAGAAGATGAGGCCGGACTGCTGGCCAGTGAATCTGCTGTGTAGCGTTGGGAGGGTGGGCCGTAACCGTCTTCACTCTCGCTGGCTGCCCGCTCCACCTCTGACAGATAGGGACCCTCCCCCTCTCCGCACTCCTCTTTCAGCTCCATCCCTTCCTCTGGGTCACCCTCACTCCCTGCTTCCTCCTCCTTCACCTCCTGGGTTTAAGAACACACACACGAAGAGTAAAATGACTGTGTTTTAAAAAGGCTGCGCGTGTATGTACATGTGCTTTAGTGTGTCACCTTGGACTCTTTCCCCGACACAGAGCTGTCCTCAGAGTCTGTGGGACAAAAAGGAGAGGAGGATTAGAAGGACATAACTATATAAGCATGACTTCTGTGTGCGTGTGTGTGTGTGTGTGTGTGTGTGTGTCCATGTGAGTACATCACCCACCTAGGCAGGGCGGGTTGGGCTCTGGCTGGCTCCATTCCTCTCCTTCACTCTTGACTGTCGCTTCAGTGACCTCCTTCCCTGCCGCGCCCTCCTCCGTGACCTCACTTCCTGTTACACCGTCGTCAGAGGTGACAGAAGAGGTGACATCACTTCCTGCCACCTCAGGTCCCTCACAGTTTCCCTTCAGCTGTTGTTCTCTTTTAGTTTCTGGTTGACTCTGGGGCTCTATGCTGGCAGGAATCAGGGCTGATATTGTGGCCGCATTCTGAGGCTCCTGTGTGGGATCAGAGTCTTGGACTGTGGGTGCTGGGTCTGAAGCCTTCAGTTCCTGCGTCTCCCAGGGGCCAGGGAGGGTGTGTCCTTCTGAGACGGCCTCTTCGCAGAGAGAGAGCGCTGCTTCCACTGCTGCTGCGTCCAAGGCTTCCACAGAGTCATCGACCTGGGAAGAAGGAGGGGAGGACAGAAAACAGTGATTGAGAAAATGTTGTTTATGTTACGCTATGCAGTACCTACAGGTCTTTTTCTGCACTCGGACTTAGTCACAACAGGTCAACATTTGATTTTTTGCACATGCATGAAGTACATGATAAGGTGTCTGAAATATTGACTGACTGAATGTCATGCTTCTCTACAGTATGTAAACAAGGAAAAAAATGTCACCAAAAAAGGTCACCAAATAGGGAGCGATCATAACAGCAGCAAATCTCTCTTTGGTTACAGTATAAGAATACAAATTAAGAGTCTGGCGCTAGGATACCATACCCTTTACTTAATTTACAGAGGCCAAACAGTTCCCACATGAAAAGGCAAAATTCCTTTTAAAAGGCAGAAATCTTTAAGAGAACCAGGCTCTAGGTGGATGGCTGTCTGCTTTGACCGGCTATAATACCAGTTTCACAATTAAGTCTAACAAACTCTCCAGTTTAAATGAATGAAAAAGGAAACCAACTCTGATCCTGGTCACACTTGCCTCTTTCATAGTGAATGGGGCAGACTGTTTTTATAAATGAGCACAGTATGTACCTTCTCCTCTATGATGGCAATGATGTCTCCTACTGTCTCCAGGTCCAGTTCGTCTCCCATGTAAGACACTGCTACAAGGTCCTCTTCTACCAACCCCGTCTCCTCACCAAGCTCTGCCTTCACTGCAGCTTCTGCTTCACCCTCTGCAAACACACACAGAGGAGTAAACAAAAACATGCAAAGTAATTATTAACCCAAACCTGAACCCAGAATTGTTATATTCTATACACCATGAATAGTGCAGGCCAAGATCCTTTCTCTCTTTAATCTATGCCATTTTATTTTTAAACACAGAACCATGAATGCATCAGGCAATGAAAGCCACTTCTGCACTGAGCTACAAAAGGCAGACTCCTTCCTGTGAGTTAGGTAAGGCAAACACAGTCAGACACAGCAAGTGACCGTAATTTGTGTAACTAACAGTTACGCTAAGTATATTTACCTGTGATGACATCATGACCAGGTGGTAAAGCAGTGGCTGCGGTGGCTGTTTGTACTCCATTTGTGAGGGTTCCAGTAGAATCTCCTTCCCCAACCTGACATCAGTGAATACAAGAATAACACAAAAGTCTGCTTTTATTCCAGTTTGGCTGTGACTCTTAGACCCACTGAGGACAAAGAAGTATATTAACTGACAAAAGTTAGAATAATGTGAACCTGTAATGTTTGATAGATACGTAAGTGTGATAATGCTGATGTTGGAACATGTGTCAATATCCAAAAGACTGTGAGGTGAAAAAATAATAAGTCTTGAAAAGCTGCATAACCAATCATCTATATCCTCATTAGGCTGTAACAGCCATTTAAAATGATTTATATACAATGATTACCTTCTGAACTACACGCTGACATTTTAAGGGTATTCCTACAGTTGTTGTATATGTTGTATATCACAGGGAGAATTAAATACAGCATCTTTGAGGCATTCAAGATTTTCACTTTCCGATATTCTTGTAGTTTTGGATGTTATGACCCAAGCTAAGCTGGCTCTCACCAGGCGGGGGCTGGCTGAGATGAGGTTGCCTTTTTTCAGCAGTTCTGACAGGAGAGGCGAGGGCGGCGGTGTTGCCTTTTGCGTTAGGAGTCTCTTTTGTGCTGAGTCATCCACTAAAGAGGCCAGGCCTCCATCTTTGTGCCCTGGGCCTGGAGCATCCGTCGCTGGAAGAAACACTCCGACCCCCTGGGCCTGGCAGAGGCAGCAAAGACTCAGTGAGAGTGGTTGGCACAGTGAGCTGCAATATCTCAACTATTTCCTTCCAGAAGGAGCTGTGACTGCCAGAAACACCATAATGTGAGGTTATCTTTTTCCACTGACTCATAATGAGACAAGTTGGAGATGCAGAAAGGTACTTTTTTGGAGTCAATCACAAGATACTTTTGTCAATAGACACACCAAGGACTTTAATTTGACTGGCAGTTTACAGTGTATGTGACAAAATCCCAAATCTATTACAGCTATGCCTTATTTATACCTCAGTGCATCAACTGAAGTGCAGTAACGTCGAGTACTGATACGTTCCTTGAAATATATTCCGTACTAAAAGATGGCACAAATAGTAGCATAGAGAAGGTACTGGAAATGTTTTTGCAAGCAAGATATGGCAAATACTGTTCTGTATGAATATGTTCTTACAACTGAGTGGGTGGTAGTGGTAGTGGTGGTGGTGGTGGTGTCATCAGAGCCAACACCTCCTGTATCCATGGGCGGCGTTGGGGCCGAAGAGTCGGCCTGAGAGTCCATGGTGGGGGGGCTGGCACCCAGAGGAGAACGGACAGTTACACTTGGCAGACGCTTAGGTGTGTTTTTCACTGCCTGACGAGCTGTGATGGAGAGAGAGGATCAACTTGTTCAAGGACACAGGAAAAAACTACAGCATAGAAATCATAAGCAAGGCATCATGTGATGGCACCGTCATGTCAACCTGAGCACATCAGGGAAAAAATCCTTTGTCTTAACAAGTGGAAAGAAATATTCCAGAAGAGGGCAGAGAAAAGCATTTGAGTAGTTGCACATGTGTTGCATTTAGACTGAGAATGTCCTCACTGGAATATAGATTTAATATACCAGTTTACAAATGTTCTTTATGGAACGCTGTTTATTATTAAGACTGTGATGAATATGTGTGATCAGCACACCTCCAGTTTGGAGAAGCAGACAGGATTACCGCCATGTAAGCAAAGCAATGTCTGCTGTGGATGGGGACAGCAGCTAAACACATTGTGGCCGCTTAAGGAAAAAAGCATATGCTATATTCACCTTGCTGGGAATTTTTTCTGGTTGCTAAAATACATTTAGCTACTGCCCATATTCACAGCAGTACAATGCTTAGCTTCTGTGGTGATACTCCTGAACGCTTCTCTTAACTGGGGGCATGCTGACCTCCATCTGATGTAGGTAATTCACTGACTATGGATAAGTATCTCATATAAGCCCGCTCAAAAAAATTCTAACTATCTGTTTAACAATGTCATGAAACTGTACAACACTGCAATTTCTATGAAGTTTGTTAAATGCTTTGCTTGGTAAATAGCAGCTATTTATTTTCTAAAGCTCTCACACCTTGAAAAACGGCTGTATTTGGCAATAAGACATGTTGACAGAAATCTAGTGAAATTTAGCATAACTGGTGCAACTCCAAAATCTCTGTCATAGTATGCCAGACCATGTGTGGGGAATGACACAATGGCAACACCTATCATCGAGTAAGTTCCAACAAATACCAAGAGGATCCAAGATATTCAGATTGACATATTTCAACAGGTCTTCACAGTGTGCAGACTGCACCTACCTTGGTACGCTGTTTCTGTGGCTTTCCTCTTCTGTTCTGCTTCGTCCTCATCCTGCTTCTTTTTTCTAAGGTTGGAAAATCACAGTTTAATTTTGGAAGATGGTATACAGGATGATATGATGGCAAAAAGGAAAGGGGTAGGATAGTGGCTGAAAAGCTGCAGAACTGACTGGGTGACCCCTCTCCCGTGTTTTGTAATAACTGCTGGGGTGTCGTTGAGCCATTAGCCACTCTAATGTCACTGCTCAGTTGCCAACAGAGACTGTGTCGAATCAAATCACCCCCTCTCAATACCCTCTAAATAAGATTCATCTGCCTCTGCAGCTAACTAAAGATCTCCTTATAAAGCAGAAGAACTGATACGAGTCTTACAGTGTGATTTCTGCCCACAGCTCCTTCAACTGGGAGTCCATGTGACCCGTCTGTATCAGATCCACCTCTTTCTTCAACTTTCTGTCAGGGCAAATGAGGGTTAAAGGTCATGTCTCACACTTCTGAAACATCTTTCAAGTGGTTTTCTTTTAAGTGTGTGTGTGTACCTGTACTGTTCTTGTGTGTCTCGCAATAGTTTTTTCAGTTCCTCTATCCTCTCTGTGGTTAGCCTACGAACGATGACATCTTCAATGGTTTCGACCACTTCACCCTTCTCACCACGCTTACGCCTGGAGGACACAAGCACTTTAAGTCAGCTCACAAAATATTTTACCTGCGATAACAAACAAAAGTGACATTATTATAATTCCGCGTGTAGCTGTGTGTCTGTGACAGTATTATCATACTGACTTTGGTGCTTCTGTGGCCTCTAGCAGCTCTGAGTATTGTGAGGCACAGTGCTGAGAAACAGAGAGAAGATGTTAGTCACGGCCTGAGTGGAGCTCAGCGTAGTTATCTGCTAAAAACACAAATGGAGGAAATGTTTTGTAAGTCTATAGCTTTCTCACCTTCTGTGAGAACCAGTCAGGTGGACGGCCAGGCTCTGAGAAAGGCTTGATGGCTCTACTTACAGACACCCTGGAAGACAGAGGGAATGAACACACATGGTGAGGAAAAAAAAATCTGAAAATAAATACATGCAGTAACGGAGGAAATGCATTCAAATTAAGAATAAATGAAAACAAGTAAAAGTGAAGTCCACCATACTGTGGGGGAAAAAAGTCATGATCATATGAGCATTGGCACAGTTCATTGAAAACAAAATTATGGACAGTAGCCGTCAAAGGATCCTTATTTCAATTAACTGTTAAAAGGGTTCAGCTAATACGTTATTCAACAAAATAACTTGATATGGATCTTTTCTTACAGAGTACTTATTGATTTTAAAGTCACATACCACCCACTTAACAAGATCCTACCTGTCACCATTCAGACACTATAAGTTGCCCAAGTCTGACATCTAGTGGCAACAATTGAGACTAAGAGATTCAACAGCACACATCACTAATACTATTACACCATGTCCTACAGGATGGACATACCTAGATAATGTATGTGAGTTAATATGCTCTTAAGGTCCAGGGCGTAAGATTTAGAGTGCTTTAGAGGTATCTAGCGGTGAAGATGGCACATTGCAACCAGCTGAAATTTCTCTCTGGTAGAATTCCTTCAGTGCTCACTGTTCAGGAGGTTTTTACAGGGAGACAAATTATCCACAGTGGTCTCTTCCTTTCCAAAACAAACAGACCAGGAAATTTAAACTCATAAAAACACAAAACAAAGCTGTTTCACACTGAAAAATCATCACACTCTCGTCTTGGGAGGGGCTTTCTACTATGGTGGCTGCTGTGAAAGCACAAGTCTGGCTCAGTCTAGAGCCACTGATTGGTTTGTCCATTCTGGGCTACTGTAGAAACATGGTGGACTCCCTGGAATAGGGCCTGCTCCCTATGTAGACATAAACAGCTCATTCTAAGGTAACAAAAACACAACTATTCTTAGTTTAAGGGAATTATACACTAATGAAAACATACTTTTATTATTATATTCCATTTATACAAATATATCCCCCTAAATCCTACACATTAGACCTTTAAAGAGAGCCTCTTATATGAGGCAAATCCACATGTGTAATGATAAGTTGATGCTCTTTTTTGTTAATGTAGTGTAGACAGATCACTGTTGTTGATGGTTTTGTTGAGGTCAAAGATACTTGGACTGACTTGTTTGCAGCGAATAGTTTGTGTAGACAGCATCTTTTAAATACTTTAATAAATTTTTGATAAAACAGAGATTTACCTGTTGTCTTATTAACTGTGACTGCACCCTTTGTGAATGCTAAAAAAAATCTGAGTGAATTGTAAAGTAGATTTTCTTCTTACCAGTTTTGGTCACCACTCCTCATGACAGAAGAGGCCAGGCACAGTTTCTCCCTGACTGACCAGGGCTCTGTTGGCCCTACATTCAGTATCTTGTGTTCTGTGGAAAAAAAGTACAAATACACATAGAAATCATTACATGTCCAGATATTTCTGGCAGCCTCTGGTAACTGAAATGCTTTATTTCAGGGCAAAAACAATGAGCCATTAAAGTCCAGATACAATAACGGCCAACCTCAACCCCAGAGTAAATACATTTGGCCCATTTCGCTGTATTTTCGGTGGAGTCCTTTAATCGCTCTGTCCGGTTTCATTATGTCATTCAAAAAATATACACACAACACAGTCATAAAAATGGGCACAAAACACACGGATTAAAAGCCATTATAATGAATATAGTACCCTCTGTCAGAGCTGAAAATTAAGATGTCTTCATTTCAGTTTCTACGTTAATTAACAAAATGAGCCTCAGGATAAGTAACGTTATCTGTATTGTTTTGGTTTCCTCCGGAACACTTTGTTTACAGTAATGCACACTAGTTACGTGACGGTCGTGTCCCTCACAACCCAAATAAACCAAACAATCTGTGGGGAATTAGCTAATGATGTTAACCATAAATATATATGATAGCTGCGCTAGTTAGCTAGTTTATTGTTTATCAAAGTTAGCATGCTAGCTACTGTTAGCTCAGTTAGATTGTTGACACTAACTTGCTAGCTGATATCGTTTTTGGGGGGATGCTTTTAAGACTTATTACCGCACTTTGCATTTTTCTAATACGTGTTGGGGCTTGAAAGCAACAAATAAAGCTAATTAAAAACAGTTGTTGTAAGCTATGGCGCTGTAGACAGTAACATACACTTAATACACTAATATTTAAGCGGTAGCGTTAGCTTAGCAGTGTTGATTACGGGGGACACATTCACGGGACACACACGGCTACACGGTGTAACGTTAACGTTTTATCACTAAGTTACAGGGTCCGACCAAATTAAATGAACCGCAATGTTTGGAGTTTGTTTACTGATAGTTCTGCTGCAAAATGACAAAGAAAATCGAGAAAGAGTTGGAAAATATTACTCACTGCCGATACCGCTCGCCATTTCTTTTGTGATAAGGCCGTGAGCACAACTTCCGCCGGACAGGTTACAGTGGTACACACGTGAACTGAGGGGGAAAAGATGAAAAAAATCCGTGACGGACGGCAGCTGCAGTTAGTGGAGCTTAAAACGAAATGTCTAAAGTAGGGCTGTCAAACTCATTTTAGTTCATGGGTAACATACAGCCCAAATTTCATCTAAATTTGGCCGGACCTGTAAAACCCCAATAGAATAAGTCATAAATAACAGCAACTCTAAATGTTTTCCTATCTTTTAGTGTCAAGAAGTACAAATGCATCCTGAAAATGGTCATACTTTTACAAAACAGATGATTAACAGCCTGAGATGTCTTCAGAAACATTAGTGCAATTGAAACAATATGTCTACTTTTACACATTTTGTCATTCTATCACTCACATACATTTCCAATCCTGTATAGTAATAGTGGCATCACCGCACCAAATTAAGGTGAAAGCTACTGAGGAAGGAGGTTAGATTATCCCCTGCCTTACAGACCAGTTACAATCAAACGTTTTGGCTTTGCCTGAGCAGTAGGGTTCCACCAATATTGTTTTAAGTTAGAAGTACAAAGAGCTGCTGATTCACAATAATTTGCACAATGTTCGGTATCTTCAAATATGACCACAGTAAGTATTCATTGAGAGAGAACAGTGTTGCGGTCAGAATGAAAAGATTCTTAAGCAGCATTTAACATGAAGTAGCTATCCTGTTTAACTTGCTCCTGAAATCTGGCACCTCTAAGCCTTCACAAGTGCATCAATATCAGGTGTGCAGAGTCATCCAGTGGGCTGGATCGGACCCTTTGGGGGCTGGTTCTAGCTTGCGGGCTTATATTTCATACTCCTGATCTAAAGGGTCCCGTCTGATCCCAAACTTAGTTTTGAAAGGACAGAGAATTTTCCATTTTTCAAGTCCAGTAAGGCTTGAAGGCTGAACTTAATCGATTGATCGGAGATTTGACCCTTCTGGTAACATACTGTATGTATGTTGTAATAGCCTAATTAAAGCTGGTGTGTCGTCTCTCTGTGTTAAATGGGAGTGAAAACGCCAACCACATCTTAACCAGAAGTGTCACAAGCAGATACCCGTCTTGCCAGACAACAACAGTTGGTGTTGTGAGCAGGGAGCAGGATTTTAGGAATATTGAGGCCATGAGTTAAAGTTCCTGACCGCAACTCCACCCCATTCATACATTTTCAGCCTGACACGCACAAAGACTAATACTTTTTTTCATCTTTTATTTTCTTTCCCCTACATTTAGGCCTAGCTTATGCAGTGGTGTGGTGGAGGATATAGGCAGGTGTACAGTGTATACACACCTCTTTGTCTGGCCATTTACCCATCTATCAGCCAAAAGGCTTTTGTAATATATAGGAGAGTATACTCACTTCTCCCATGCACCTCATCAACTATCACTACACCACTGACTTTATGCATTTAACAAACCAAATGATATTTTCTGAAAATGTTATTTCTCTGTGCAGTTGTCTAATAGCTGTTTCAAAGCCCTCTACATATGCTGCCTCTGGGATCCATTTTTGATAAATATATTCTGTTTCATTGTTTTGCAGATAATATACAGATCTATTTATCTATTCCTCTGCTCAACTGTTTACATAATGTCAAAACTTAAATTTAACTTACTTAGTCTTAATAAAAATATGACAGAGATTGTTATGTTTGGACGTCCCGACTCATAGGTTGACTCTGCCGGATCTCTTGGCCCTTCAGCTTTTCACAGATGACCATTTGTTAAAAATCTTGGTGTGATTTTTGGCAGCTCTTTCAGATTTGATAAACAAATTAGTTGTCAAAACTAGCTTCTTCAAGTTAAGATGATCTCAAGAGAAATATTCATGCTTTTATTACCTCTTGGCAAGACGACTGTAATTCTTTGTATGTGGGTGTAGATCAGTCATCACTACATTGTCTGCAGTTTGTACAAAATGCAGCTGCTTGTGTTCTAACTGGGAAAAGAAAACGGGATCACATGACACCAGTATTGGCCTCCCCCCACTGCCATCCTATTATCCATTATAGGATTGATTTTAAGATACTTTTTTGGCTTGTTTTTAAGGTTCTAAACAGTCTGGTGTCACCTTATCTAACAGAACTCTTGTATCTTTGTACTCCAGTTAGAGCACTGAGGTCGACCTATCAGACGCCCCTGGATGTTCCCAGAAGCAGACACGTTAACAGTGGCAACCGAGCCTTTGTGGTGGTTGCCCCTAAACTCCGGAACAGCTACCTATTCAAATAAAAACAGCTCAGACTATAGAAACCTTTAAATCACAACTGGAGAACCACCTCTTCTTGTTAGCATATGATTGATTAGAGCTTGACACTTTGACTTAATTTTCTGTTGTGCTGCAGTTTGTTCTCTATCATGTTTATTGTTCTCTTCTGTTCTTATTGCTGTTTGCTTCTGTATTCTGTATCTGTTTGTGTATTTTGTGCCTGTTCAGCACATTGGTCAACTGCAGTTTTAAAATGTGCTCAACAAATAAAGTTTAACTCGACTTGACATTGTCAGGAATATAATTCTGATGGAGACATACTAAAGCCTTTTTATTTCACTGTGATTTTATTTAATGTCTTGTTTATTTTATCTAAAAGCACTCAAATCTAGAGACGGTGAGTCTAATAAATATAAAATTAAACTTAAAAACACACCATGTATAAACGTCTCCATTGGTCATTAAATTCCCTGACTGTCCAGGAACAGTGCTGTGGGCACAACCTCTTCCCTGGTTGTGAATTCAGAGCAAACACAATAGGGTCTTCAGTCCCTCCATCACTGACTGAGGATTAAAAGTCTGTGATCTAAGACATCCGAAAACTTTAAACATGTTTTAGAAGCTGCCTGTTTTTCAAGTTTTAAGGTTTATTGTCATGAGGCTATACAATACAGTACTGCACAATGACAGGCAGTTGTGGCCCCCTCCACACTACACACAGAAAATGTATAACATTCAAATATTTAATTTGAATAAAATATAAACAATAAAACAGAGCAAACTGCATAAAAATAACATTTAAATAAAGAAAAATAAACTATATTCATATATACAGTATCATATTTACTACATGAACACATACAAAAACATGTGTGATATCAGTGTAATATGAGTATGCAGACATTTTAGTGCGAAAAGAAAACTTTGGTAATAATGAGAATGAGGCAGTGCAAAAGGTAATGGTATGGTAATGTGCAATGTCATTTATGTACGGCAGAGTGCGGAGGACGAGGTGGAGTTGAGGAGTCTCACAGCCTGAGGAAAGAAGCTGCTCTGTAGTCTGGTGGTACAGCAGCAGATACCTCTTTATCACTTGCCAGACAGCAGCAGGGTGAACAGGCTGTGGCTTGGGTAGGTACTGACCCAGTTACATCAACATGTGTATTTGAGTGTCTCCTGTGTGCCAGGATGTGCAGGAGGATCACAAACACATTGTGCATGTAACAGTAGTACTTGAGGTACTGTAAGTTAAAGAGGTAGGCACTGTCTGGAGAACACACATACTGTGTGGACTTAAAGGACTGGCCAAGAGTGAAAGAACTGAGCATCTGAACTGGCGCACTGTTTCTCCTCCTTAAATGAAGATTAAAGAAATTTCATGTGTCACAGTCACTATCTTGAGCAGACACACATCTGTTACACATCTGTTGTAACATATGATGTATTAATGAAAAACGGTAGGAGATGCAAGAGGAAGTGTGACACATAAGTTTAGCTTTAAAAGGTAATTTTACTGGTTCACAGCAGATACAGTTTACAAAAAAATTGAAATATCATTACAAACAGGTAATACAGAGGCAAGGTGTTTTCTGCCAACTCTTATGTTTTGCCCTTAAATGTCAATGAGAAAGTCATTTTGTCTTTCCCTGGCCTTTAATTGGCTGATAGGCCATGACCAATGTTTAAAACCATATGTGTTAGATTGTTGTAGTTTGTAGTTTTAAGTAATTTAAAGAGACAGCTCACCCCAAAATCTGAGACATTTTCCCTTTCACCTGTAGTACTATTTACCAGTCTAGATTGTTTTGGTGTTGCAGAGTGTTGGAGAGATCAGCTGTAGAGATGTCTGCCTTCTCTCCAATATAATGGAACTTGACTAGCATTGTCTCTTTCCAGAATTCCAATCATGTGGGAACTATGTTCTTTCTACCAAACTTCACCGGCCGGTCAAATCATCATACAAAGAGAGGCATGCATCTAGTGCTAGCTCACATAGCACCACTGAGCTAGCTAATGTTACAGCTCAGTGGAGGAGGATGCCATTAACATTTACAACTAATGCTGTCACAAGGAGGCTGGTGTTGTTTGGTAGAAAGAGAATAGTTCCAACATGAAACTGCTCACAATAAGGTGGGTGAATTATTTTGTGTAACCAGGTCGTGATTTTTGCAAAGAAACATCAAATGACATCTACTTCCATTATACTGGAAAGAAGGCAGACATCTCTATGGCTGATATCTCCAACACTGGGCAACTCACACCAAAACAATCTAGACTGATAAACAGCACTACAGGTAAGAGGAAAACATATGTATTTTTTTATCTTTGGGCAGACTATCCCTTTAACTGCTGTTATAAAAAAGCCTCCTGAAACAAACCTAATGAATGTTACCCATTGCATATCAGTCCTATTAAAGAGCTCTACAAGTAATGTTGTGTAATGTGTGAACTGAAATGCTTTTTTGTTACAAGTCTGAGGTTATTAAAGGCTCACTGTGTGGTGTTTCACAAATACAAATACAACAACAAATAACAAAAACTTATCATCAGCTTAATAAGGTTTCAAAAAAGTCCATCATCTGTTGACGACTTCAGACAGACTCCCACCTGAACTGTCGACTTTTACATACCAGTCAATCAGTGTTGATAAAATGACACCATTCACACCCATTTAAATATTGGCAGTCTTTATTTCAACAAGACTAAGAAATGTTGTTTAATATACATTTTTTTTCTCTTACAATTTAACATCTATCTCATCTTGTTTTTTCCATAACATTTAGGAGATACTCTGACAAGTAAAAATCTGGTGTACTGTTACGGCCTCTTTTAGAGACATCTAAACCGGCTGCTCTTTATTTACACTTTTTATTCTTCTCAGTCAGTCACTCAGTCTCTCCTCAGAAAATGAGTCCTCTCTGTTCTTGTGGGCCAAAGGCTGATGGAAGGCTTTCAACACCTGTCCAACTCAACTTTTAAGTCACCTGACTAAAGTTGCCCTGTGGATCGAAAGAACAACATCCAGCAGCTGGACCAACTCCTGGCAGCCGGAGAAATGTTGCTGCCCTGGCCCGCAAGCACAGACATTTACCATCATCACCCAAAACATTTTCTCTTTAACTCTCAGAAAGTTGGGTTTCTTCACACTCCACACAACTCTTCCACATGACACGAACACATGCACAAGCCCTGGTAGAAATGTTGGTGGAACGCACAAATCCGGAGAACTGAAGTGGTCACATGCAGAGGTAACACCTGATCACGCTGCTGATACACAGCTTCATTATTTTAAATTAAGGCTTCAGTATTTTATGTGGGTTGCTTAGCTGTTACATCAGATCCTTCAGATTCTTAATATTGATGTCCTCATTGATTTGTTCCAGTCTGTTAGTTGATATCACTTTTTTTTTGTTAGCTTACAATCAACCTGTCAATTTCAAAGCCTAACAACAGGCATAACCATCTGGTTTCACTGCAGCCAACTGTTTCAGACCTGCAGGCAATCCATTTTTCATTTCTTTTCTTTTTTAACAAAATGCATATTAAAAGCCCCCAAATCTGATCAATTTAGTAAATTATTTTTGGGAAATTAATTATTTTCACCTAGGATTTGCATTTCGAAACATTCTGAATACTGTGTTTTGGATCATCTATGTCAGTTCTAAAGGCATGTTTGCAATGACATTAAAATACATGCATAAGTTACTGTACAAAAGCTACATGAGGCAGCATCATTTTAGAGATGAAATGGCCAGTCAATGCAACTTACAGACCCCATTATTGAATTAGAAGACATAGAAAATCTCTTGTTGTGCTTGTCAGCTGGTAACAATATACTCAGACACCCTACAGGGAATCCGAGCACATGACAGATACAAATCATCAACACCTACATTCTTTTCTTTACCTCAACAAGTTGCTAATAATGTACCGAGGTTTTTAAAATAAAAAAAATAAAAAAAAATAAAAAATCAGGCACCATACATTGCATTCATTTTGGTAGCACTTGTGACAATACTTCAACATTCCACCTCAGGTTGAAATGATGAGAATGTGAAGGTGAGGATAGGTAGATCAAATAAGTCCATTTATACTGACACAGGCTGTTTAAGAGGCACAAGTGTGTACTGTGAGACGGGGGGACGTGGGCAGGGGAAAAAAAAAAAAAAAAAAAGCACCAAAAAACTGCACACTGACCAAAAGTGCCCCCCGATATCTGTGCACACTGTCCTCTTCCACCACCTAATACTAGCAGTACAATCCACTGTAGTACCTAATATATATCTTCATACCAAAAATAGCTAAAAATTACAACACCTCTTTCAACATAAAACCCTGTATTAAAATAATCTTTTCTTGATTTCATTTGATCAAAGCACTGTCTTTTGTTCCTCTTCTCTAGTTTAATGTGAAACGCTCTGAACATACATGTCGCCACCTTCTCTTTTTCAAACAAAGTAAGACTGTATAGAGTCAGATCCTCTGTGCTGAACTGCGCTTACAATACCAAAAAAGGGCATTCAGGACTTGTCAGCTTTGCCTTCTTTAGGGTTAATGCCAGGGGAGTCCTTCTCCTTCCTCACCAGTTACCTTTCACCAGGACGCCAGCCACATATCTCAACTCTATCAGACACTTTCAACTCAACATCACTAGATTGCATTGGCAATGAGAGCATGCATGAGGTATGACCTTACTATTGAACTGTTTCAGCCGAAGAAATTAAATTAAAAAAAATTAATGAAGGAAATTAAAAAGTTAGGTTGTGATAATGCTCATAGCAGACATACAATATGCATATGCCCTGAAAGCTCTTCAAATAATGGTTCCATCCCCAGGTCAAATATAAACACCTGTGCTGCAACTTCTCTCGCTGTATTTCTGAGACTTGACAAGATTTTTATCGCCTCTCCAAAGAGATCAACAGCTAGCTTCATCATTTCTGACTGGCTGTTGTGTGTAAATGTATAAATGCACGGACTCAAACGTTCACAGTATGCACATAAAAATTATTGTCATGAATGGTTAATATTCATATTGTTTCGTGATTAGTTGATCTCTGAATTTTGGAGAGACAGAACATCCTCAGAAATATGAAGATATGTCCCACCACAGGCACTCAATGTTCAACCAAACATCTTGGTTACTATTAAGATATCAGATGGCAATCATTGAAGAAGGCACAAATATGTATTATGAGATTAAATTGCCAAAACAAGACAATTATATGATGTTTGTAATGCTGCAAGCAGAACCATAGTGTAGCTCCAAAAGAGCCATAAGGAGTAAAGGTTTATCTGGAGGGAAAAAGGGGGATTTCTGGGGAAGAAAATCATATTGCTGTACACTGATGTCCTTAAAAACATACAAACAAATAATTAAAAGTGAAGTTATTGTAATATTAAGAAGAGTCCCCCCCCCTCCCAATGGCGGACAGTCCAAGGTCCTGAAGGCAGTCTTTTTAAAGTCTCTCTGACAGTTTTCCCCTTCGCTCCGTCATTCCTGATCGTTCTCTTCCTCTTCCTGCCCAGCCAAGTTTTATCTCAAGTGGGGAGCCAGCAGGGCCAGGGCCAGCCCGCAGAGCGCCAGCGCCATGCTTCCCTGTGAGACAACCCCCCCGCCCGAAGGACCTTCGCCCACCACCACTTGATTGACCCTAGGATTGCCAGGGTTCGGCGGAGTGGAGAAGTAGATGTCCTGGTCTGTGTCGCAGGACGGAGAGTCACAACCGCTGCCGCTCTCCTCTCCTCCACTGCCATCGTCATCTGGAAAACGACAGACACGAGGGTCAGATGTGTACAGCCAGGATGTGATGTCATGAAGAAAATCATAAAGAATATCAAAAAGAAAGTAAATGATCCTCACCATCCTCACCGTTATCGACAGAGATGTCATTGCCGCTGTGCGCAGCTTTGAGCCAGCTTGTCATTTCCTTCAAAACTGCGATCTGACTGCGAATCACAATGTCGGGCTTTGTGATGTCCACGTCCACGTCAGGGTTTGATACCTGATTGGCCAGGCCATTGCCAATGACAACTGACTCGTATCTATGTAGAGTGAGAGTCAATATTAGTCTTACTGTTGGATTATCTAACCATACTGTATATGTGGGATGAGTGTGTGTATATACCCCATTTTGTTAGTACCACGACTTTAAAATTTAACTTGTTTTAATAATAAACATATTTTCTCAGAGTTCCTTTAAGTTGTCTCAACGTGTGACAGTGGGACAGTGTGTGACTGCAGCTCTCATAGGGCTCTACATTAACGCTTGCCCAGGGCGCGTAAACTCGTGTTCAGAAAAGTGGAATGCTTCACGCAATTTTGCAATCTGGGAACTGAAAAATGATTGTGATATCTAATGTAATGTTATCTGAAAATAAACAGCGTACTGTATATCACTGAAGCAGAGCTTTTCCAGCTGAGCTGCGTGAATGAGTCTGTCTCATCACCAAGCAATAAACAGGACGGATGAGAAAACCTGACATACTGGACACTACAGAGATTAATTCCTGGGTCTGCTACATCATATATGATATAACATTACTAATGTTAAATATCTCTGGAAGGCTGGAGGAGAGAGAGTTACTTTGCTTGCTCAGAAGCTAACGTTAGAGGCCTCTGGTACTATTGAATCCCTTTCAGAAGCTTTGTCATCCAGCCTTGAACTGCGGTGAGGTTTAAAAAGACTTTTAAAATAAACCCATGATGATAAACTGACAATGACTGTCTTCTGTGATTATTTATTAATTTTTTCCATGTTGAAGACAGTTATTGTTGTTAGCTGTCCACTTGCCGTTCATGGTGCCTTGAAAGCCTGCTGTTTAACATTTTGCCGTGGTATAGTTTCAGTGTCGAGACATTCAGGATGGTATCATATTACAGTTATGAGTTTGGTATCATGACAACACTAGTGAGCGTATGTGTGTTTGTGTGTGTGTGTCTATTTTACCTGCTTTTTGCTGTTCCGTTCCAGCACTCGTCCCCAGGTGCGATCCTTTCCCCTGCACACACTGTCTCTGGCAATGTGGACCAGAACTTCTTTGCATGTTTCAGCTTCTTCTTCACATCACTTGTCTGAACAGAAAACATGTACATGTCAGACACAACCTCTTAACGTAAAGCAGCAGTAGTCTAGTCGTGCTCTGTCTTTTCTTAGTTCTTACCAGTCGATCTAAACTCGTCCCGGCAGCAGTAGTGGGCCTAGCATCGGGACTGTAAGGGCGGAAGCGGCCGTTAAAGCCTGTATCTTTGATGGAGCGCTTGGAACGGAAGGCCATGCTTGGTTTAGGCTGCCCACATCCCTGGAAAACCTGTTAGAAATGAACAAAAGTGAAGTTAGTGGAAGCGTATCTCCTCATTACTTGTCTTTCTTTTTAAAAATGCTATGAAGTGATACTGACTTTCTGCGACACTTGCATGCTGTTCTCCTGCATGTTCATGATGGCATCTGAAATCTTCACGTCGATGGGATCCATGACCGACTCAAAATTAAAGGGACCTTCGAGCCTCTCTGCTAGACTAAGCATGGCATCTGAAAACCGGGACATAAGAACATGAAATTAAAGTGCGGACAAGACATTGATTCAGGATTTTCTTCAGTCAAGCTCATTAGAAAAAGCTGCCACTAGGGGGAAGCACGTGCCCGAGAGCAGGAGACAGTTAACCAGTGAAACAGAGCCCTCAGATTACAGCAGAGGGAAGCTGCTGCAGAAACCAGACGCCTTCACAGACAGTAGCAGCGTCAGCAGCCAGGGATAGAAGCATGTAATGGTGTTATAGAAGCCAGGAAACATCTTTAGTCACATGAGTCTGTCATGTAGAATCAATATAATACATGCAGAGAACAACAGTGCATAGATACAGCACCCTGAATGTAATGAAACTGATCTGGGTCTGTGTTTACACAACACAGGAGCTGCATTCATCCTCTGGGTCATAACATGTACAACTTACACTGCCCCTCCCTCTCTGCCTTTACTTATACAAGATGCTAAAGAATGAGGAACATGTTTGTACATGAGTTTTACAGTAAAAACACAGTGTTCCTTGCTAAACTGAAGTGCAATTAACCCGCTAAATACACTGGAATAATATTAATTTGTCTCTCATGTAATTACCCCAGTTTCATCCCGACCCCAATCCCATCATGTCACACTGGTTTCATGCCCATGTGGGTAAAGAGGGGTGCGTGTTTAGATAAGGCTGAAGTAGATTAGGTTAGATTAGATTAAACTTTAATGATTCTTTGGTGAAATATGAGCATTGCAGTGGCAACTTGTAAAGGAACACAGAAGCAGGCAGTTGTATAAATATACTCTGTGGCCAAATCAAACACTTTAAGCCAATTTTGGTTATAGCCGGGTGCACTCTCGGTCATTAGTTTAATAATGGTTGCAGAAAGTGTCCTTGATCACACGACGGTCGCTTACCAAGGAAGTTGTTCCATTCCGTGTCCAAGTCAGCCTGGTTGGCCAAACACCCACGCAACACATTCAGACAGTAATTCTGGCAGGGTTTCAGGGCCACTTGGCCCGAGCAGTAGGGACAGTACAACATCTTCATGGCCGCTCGCACACAGCTGGGAGAGGCACTGACCTGGAGGAGGCAGGGGGCAGTCAGCAGACTGTTATCATTTCACCACAGCAAAAACACTCATCCAGCTCTGTCACAGACACATACTTGACTGTGAAAAAGCACAGCCATTAATTTTATAAGCCAACTCTACAAAGCAGGATAATCTAATCATCAATGAATCACTTAGTGCAGTGGAAAAACATGCCATACCAGAACAGTCAACGTGGTTTATGTTATCAGAGACACTGTAATGGAACCGCAGCCAGTTTTTCCAAGATATGAAGTCAGAAACACAGAAGGGAGGGACGGACAGAGCTTTCTGGAAAAACTTTGTCCCAAAGCAGACTGACTGCTATAGCTTTTTGTTGCAGAGATGAATGCTTCACAAGCAACTCTCACTTACCGTAGAAACTTTATTGACCACCTCCGGCATGAGTGTCAGGCCGCGCACGAAGGTGCGTGCAGCAACAAAAGCCCGTGTCAGCTGGATGCGGAGCTTGCGAGGCACATCGCCGAAGGGCTGCAGCTGCTCCGTGTGCCGGCTGACACACTCCATATAGGCGTCGCTGAATTCGTACTGCACGTTGACCAGCCGAAACATCCTCTCCAGGAGGTCGGCCCAGAAGTCTGCCAGCATAGAGTCCAGGTTGACGGCAGCGCTGCCCGACACATAGTACCGAGTTAGGGCCGCAAAGAAGTTCTTGAACAGTTCTGCGTTTTGCACGTACATCATCCCATACGTTCGCACAAACATGTTGTGCAGCGAGACCTCTGCATTTTTCAAAAGCTCACGGAAAAACTCTGTGGAGAAAAAAGAGGAGGGGGATTAGAGTGATGACTAAACGCTGAGGCTGCCAAAGAGCCAGAACAAACAATTTTACATTGTTAACATTTCATGTCCGTCTACAGGGAGGAATTCATTTTAAAGATGTGACAAAGGAAATTGAATTTGTATGATGGATAACATATTGCTTGGGACAACTACAGAGACTGAGAGCTGATTTTATCAATCTGTAACTCAGTAACATTTTATGAATTGTGTTGTTTGGGCACAGTGAATTCACACTTTGTGAGTATCCCATTACAAAACATAAGGCAACACACAAGCACATTGTGAGGTTTTCATCAAATCATTGCAATATACAGATTCCAGCATGACCACAGTGTTTGTAAATAACTAAATTATTGCTGTTGTCTGGACAAAATGAACATTTCAAAAGTACTGCTGCCACAAGGCTGTAATATAGCACATCTAAAAGATGTTGATATGTAGAGCCCTCCACCCACACTTTCACTTTCTGACTCTGAGCCTGTGCTGCTGCTGCTGCTGCTGCCACCATATGAAATCAGATTGATGGTTATTCCACTTCACCTGTGCCCATGTCCTAACATTTTGAGTATCTCAACAGAAACAGCTTAGGCACAAAATCTTGGATGAAAGGCAAAGGAATGTGTTGTGGGGAGGGGGTGTTTGGAAACGAGGAGATGAGAGGAGTGAAGCAGGAGGGGTGAAAGGTGGACCTGGAGCATCTCTGTCAGGCTGAGCGAGCAGCCAAGTATGGGAGCGGCACTGCTCCTGGCTCTGTGGACTTGCCATTCAGCAAAGACGTCTCTCCACATCAAGCCGCTTCAAACTGACCACCATCAATGGCATTTTTCTGTTGTCACATTCCATTCGCTTTCCTTTCTCCCGGCTTGTCTTGGACTGTCCTTCAGAGGCATTTTCAATAGGATTACTGAATAATGCGACCCCCCCCCCCCCGTATATGGACCTGTACCCCCCATCCAGCCCTGCATCTCCCTCCCTCCGCTGCTTTCACTTCATCAGTTTCTTCAGAGAGCTCTCTTCACTAGAGACAGGGAACAATGACCTACTTCATCCTGAGGAATGTCCATCACCCCCCTCACCACTTTCCCCCACCCCCAATAATCCAGGCCCCCCTCTCCCACGGACACCCCCTCCTGGCCCCCAAACTTTCTTAATCTGAACAAAATGAGAATTCCTCTGAGTCTCTGAAAAAATGCTTCACCTTCAGTCTCGCGTGCATGCAAGCATACACTTACCCCCTTTCACTCATCTCTCTTTTTTTATCCACTCTCCGTCTCCCCCTCGCTGCCCTGTGCGCACAAAACTTCTGTCCCGCTGCAGTTTCTCTGGGTGCCCTCTGCTTGGCTTTGAAATGTAAAGTTCCCATGCTCTCACAGAGGGAGTCACTAAACGCTCCCTGCCACCAGTACATACACACACATACACACACACCCCAAGTAGCACTGTCACTTCCACTTCAGACTGACACACTAAAAAGAAAAAATGAGGCAGGGGAGGGGTGAGGGCGGCTTGGGGCGGGTTAAGTTGAGGGCTTTTTTAACTCCAAATCCCCACTGTGTCGCCAAGGATACCGGAAACACTGCAGCCCCTCCATTTACCTCCCCACCATCATTGCAGCCCTCCCTCCCCTCGCCTCCAACACACACGCATACACACACAAAGCCAGGGGAGAGGGCACCAAGTTCCACGCTCCATTGACAGAGATTAAAACAAAAAGGTCCACCCCCACCCCTGGAATGTCATAGTAGCCACAAGTTTAAAGTCGGTGAAAGGAGACGGAGGAGGTGAAGAGGAGGAGGAGGAAGAGGCATGAAGCAGGAGGACAACCCCAAACTTCTCTATTTCCTTTCTACAGTTTATTAGAGCGGTAATGCCTATATGCTAAACAGATAAGCCCTGTAATGAGTTTGGACAAACCCACTGGTTAAAAAGAGAGAAAGAGAGCGGCCTGTGCAGGGTGTGTGTGTGTGTGTGTGTGTGTGTGTGTGTGTGTGTGTGTGTGTGTGTGGGGGGGGGGGTGGCTCAAACAGAGGGTCTGAAGTATGAGCTGCATTACACAGGCATCTTGCATTGTCATTAAAAACAGTTTATGACACGCAGCCGTCTGCCAACGGGCCGAGGAGCTGAACACTCCCTCAGGATTTTTCCATTAAAAAATGCGCCTGTCGCTCAGCCAATGGCCTGAGAGAATCTGGGTGAAAGGTTACACGGGAGAGAGTGTAAGCTGTAGCGAAATGTAAAGAAGAGGGACAACTCCTGCCTCTGTGAGTGTTCGTCTTTTTCTTGCTCCCTCCCCTCGCCCTGTCATCATTTCCACATGTTGCAGAGAAGACCCTAAATTACGAGCAATGATCTTAGGGCCCAATCCATCACAGGAACAGAGGAGCTGACCGATCTCCTCCCACTCCTCCCTCCTACTTCCTCCTCCGAGGAGCTTCCCCTTCTCCCCCGCACCCCCACCCGTGTCCCTATAAACTCTGCTCCTCCCAATCCCAGCCCAGGCAGTAATTGCATCCTATTTGTGCCAATTAGTCCCTGTGCTTCTCCCTTTTCTTATGGGATGGGATTCTGTCCCTCCTGCTGTTGGACTTCGGGGCTTCGGATGGATGTCTCTTGTTGTGTGTGTGTGAGTGTGTGTGTCTGGAGACAAGGGGCCTTAATCCAAGAGCTTAAATCCCAGACATAGGCTAGCTCTGCTGGATGGGGTCAGTGCAACAAGACAAACAGGCTGAGGCCAGGACAAACACACAGAGAGGGGAGAACTATTTCTGGCACTTGTCTTAATTGGCCATGACTCCTAGCTCCAGGCGCATGATGAGAGCCTGCCTAATCACATACACTACTTCCTGAGTTTGTTAGTGTGTGAGCGCATGTTGTTGTGTCTGTCTTCTTGTACAGTTGCTGCTGTGTTTATGTACATATGCATCCCACTTCTCAGGAGCAATTAGCTGATGTCGTCATCCTGACAGTCCTCTTAAAGACAATAAGCACTTCCTGTGCCAGTTTCACCGACGGGAAGTGCCTACTTCAGGGTGTCTCGATGTGACAACAGGAAATAATAGGATGGCAACCCAAGCCTGTCACCGTATCCGGTGAGAGAGATGGTCTCATGGCCCAGGTGGAAGAGAGCACAGCAGGCCTTTGTAAAGAGATCCCACATCTAACAGTTTGGAGACAGCAGCAACCTGCCTACAGTGATGAGGAGGGGGCACAAAAGGGGAGGAAGGTAAATGAAGCACAGGGGGGAAGAGTTTCACTGTCAGCTTGCGGACTGCCCCCTCTTGGTCAGATAGATGACCCTACACTTGTGCAGTCTTTGTCAATTTCTGTATGACTTTTGCACAATTAGTCTGTTGTAAAGAGTATGTTACAGAAAAAGAACTTTGATGGAAAACTAAAAAAGCAATGATATTTAAGCTGCATTAGAAATATTAGTGTGGCGGTGTGACATAACTAAGTGAATGTGGACTTTGATCGGGAAAAAATTCCCTCAGAAAACACTGCGCCGAAGCTGCAATCAAATTCGACAGCAGACCTTTTATAGTTGTGTCTGAACACTCAGAGGAAACTGTCAAGACAACTGTGCTTCCTGTATCAGTTCCTCAAAATCAAAGACTGAGAACTCCTTTTTAGTCTTGCCATATTTCTCAGATGCTTAACAGTCATACAGGAACACATCCATTATTAAATCTGCAGACAATAAAAACTTCACCACCTGTAGCCCCAATAGACCAAATGCAAAGCAGCTACAAGAAACTTCAATGAATTTACTCAAGCAGGAAATCATTCTCTCCTTACTACCGTAACAAGTACAGCTCTGTTCACAGGGGAGAAAGCATGAAGGTGATAACTATTTTATGCAACTGTGTGCAAAAAAATAAAATAAACAAATTAATAAAATAGCTTTGGTGCTGAGTCCAAGTTTTATAATGGTTGGGAAAATTCTGCAGTTAATTCTGGCATCATGTTGGCTAAAATGTTGGTGACATTTTCATGTAAACAAACAAACATGTAAACACATCGTGCGATATGTGATATACGGACATGACTTCTATCATTCTTGCTGAGTTCAGTAAGTCGCAAATGCATTTTTGTCTGACAGGCCTAACCACAGACTCTGGGAACTTGTTATTAGGACTGCATTGATTAATCAATTACTTATCAAATATTAATTTCTTGTGTCTTTACTCCTCTCTGACAGGGAAATGAATATGTTTGGGTTGTGAACAAAACAAGACGTTTGAGGACATCATCTTGGGCTTTGGGAAACACAGTCCAACCATTTTCAACCACTTTATCAAACGAAAAAACGAATCGATTCATCAACAGGTTAATCGACAATGAAAATAACCGTTAGTTGCAGCCATACTTGTGATGATTATTCACAGTTTGCTATTATGTTACACGCCAAATGAAATTATCTGTTAGTTGCAGTGTTGAAACAATGTCACACAAAGCACCATTTGAATCCTGCCAGAAAGCATCAAGGACATGAGCAGAGTTTGGGGGACATAACTAAGCGCAGAATCAAGAACATACAATAAAGAAATGCATGCAGGGATCAATATGATCAACAGTGAGACATTTTGTGTGATGGGAAGCGAAAGGATGGTTTCAGAGGGGTTTGTGGGAGAGTGGGGCATGAGATGGGGACAAAGGGCAGTAAGAGAGGAGAAAAAGAGGGGCGGGACGGCTCGAGCAGCCACTACATTCCGACACGTCACATTCCTGTTCACATCTGGCTGCAATACACACTCTCCTCGTTACTGACTATCCCTCTCCCCCTTTCACGGACACATAAGATCTGAAGGTCTCTGACCCTCCTATGCACAGGCACGCATGTGTACACACAAATGTAAACCACGCACATACACGCCATCACAAGTAAAATGCCTATGTACTCAGACACTTAAACAGCCAACACTTCCTATCTTTGTCAGTTAATCCTCTTCTCTCTATATTATCAAGCTTCTTTTCCAGCTGAGCTGCAGTGGTGGCACAATCTGGTGGCTGAGGGTAGTCAAAGCTGCCCCGCCACCTCAGTGACTCAGCACTGTTGCATGTTCCCATGCGCTCCCACCCTCAGAAAGGGAAACCTGATCCCAATATTTACAGGCATACACACATGTGCTCATGCACAGAGGAACAGGAAGTACAGAGAAGACTAAATCTGAAGATGTGTGTGGTCCGTCTGGAAGCGTGTACGTCTCTCTGGAGAGAAGGGAGCGGGTATAGTGTGTGGGGTGGGGGGGGAGATGGGGCAGGGAGCTGAGACGTTGAGAGACAGGTGGACGGGCCAACAGACACAGACTGACTGTCTCCGCTCAGGGCAGTGCACTGGCAGGTGGAAGCGTCCGTCAAAAAAATCGTGCAACACAAGTGCTTCTACGGGGACGGCAGCCAGCAGCACAATGTAGTCTGCTGAGAGGCTGGTGTACATGTGCGCGTTTGTTTGTGTAAGTGTGTTTGCTTACTGTCAAAGTGGTTGTGCCTCTGTCTGAAGGTGGATTGTAGGTTAGTGCTAAGCCTGGAGACGGGAGCTTTGATCTCCGTGTGGCTCTGCTGGCTCAGCTTCTCCTCCATCTCCACTGTGCAGCAGGAGAAACCCTGCGGACACACTTTTAGGGGGGCTCCTGGAAGACATGAGGAGAACACACTGTTAAACACCATACAGGATACTGTCCCCAAAGGTCACATTGATACAAAATATTTCCCATCAGTCGTTTTAGAATAAAAAGCATGACCTGATTAAAACACAACGTTAGGCCTCTAATGGTGATTCAAGTTAAATAATACACTTTAAGACCCATTCAGAATCTGTACACCTGCAGAGTGGCTTTGTTAATGTCTGCGGGGTTAGTCATTAATTGAGCCAACTGGGCAGCTTTAGTGGATATTTTACTTGTTTGAAACACACACGTATCGATCATTAACACAATTTCTTGCTTTTGTCTGCGATGAAACCTTTCAGCTACTGAGTAACAACTTCACCCCTCACCAAATCAAATGCACCTTGGCTGTGAAAACCCCCTTAACTGCACTTAAGTGGATTAATTGCAACACTCAGCTCAGAGCAGTCTTTAGCCGGCCACTTTATAGAGCCTTGCTCTTATCCTGGCACTTCCCTGTCCTGATTGATAGTTCAGTGCTGTAGCTTTCTCTGAGTGCTGTGTCCTTCTAAAACAGAGACTTCTAAGAGGAGAGGATTAGCTCTGCACCCACTTTGCTAGCAAGAAGGCTGACTCCAGACATGTGAACATTGATGCACAAACATGTTAAAAAAAGGACTTATTTTCCCGCTCTCATTATGGCTCTGCATCCACATAGGGCAACATTTTGACAAACAGAAAAAAATAGATTGTTAAAAATGCAAGAAAATGACGAAGCGAAGAAGCCTGATGTATCATGAAGGACCTTCAAAAATTCATATGATTTCCATGTGACCTCAGCCATCTGACTGTCACGTGATACATTGTTGGACTGGTGATGCTCTCTTTTTTTAATGCCTGCTCTGTAAGCAAACAGCCAAAAGCCACCTGCTGGAAACAGTGTCAAGCTGCTGGCTTAAGTGGCCCTCACATGCCAAACGGGAGAGATGTGAAGTGTTTTTCTGTTTTGGAACTTCAGTGTAGCTGGACAAATGTTCTGATTATGTGGGCAGACAAGTTTTAACTATTTAGACATTTCCAAACAGATCAGCATTGGTGTGGACGTGGTCTTGGACCGAGCCAAGGCTCAACTGTTTTCCACTCAAAACAATTATCCAAAACCCAAATACTGTCTTTGATAAAAGAGCAACTGTCAACTTTGTCAAAAGTTAGTTTAACATCCAATTAAAAGGAGGGTCAGGGGAGGATGAATGCAAAGTCGCAGCTGCAATAATGTTTTGTTTTAAACATGGCTGTTGGAATTTGGGAGAACACAGGGATCCTTTCACTGCATCGAAGCACCAACGGCCTGTTTGGTTTTCCCCACCAGCTCGTGCTCACTGACTCGGGGCCTGTGTGCATGCACAGGTTACTGCTTCCTGCAGGGCCTTCGTGTCATGCATGGACTGGAGCTTTAATATTACCTGTAAAGTTTTCCAGCATTGATTTATCCCAGGCTAATGTAGCCTTAAGACATTATGCTGACTCTAGTTTCCACATGGTGCCGTGTAGGAAAATGTGTTATATATGTTTCCTTTATATGAAATTTTGAAATGCACCAGCATTTATTTAAAGCTACAGAAAACTCAAAATTGTGACCTAAACAGGTGATAGCTGGGACTAGGAACAGTGAATTACTTCCATGCTGTTTCTTTAATTTTCTCATCCTTATTTTCTTGTGAGCAGCTGTGAAATGTTTTGTTGAGTTAAGACAAAACTTATTTCACCACAAGACAGAAAAATCCAAGCAACCTCCTCCAAGTCACAACAAAAGACAGGAACATTATATTGGAAGTTTAATGCATCCAAACTACAAGCCTTGTTTATTGGAAAATGGATTTGGTAAAGCCTCCTGCCAGTTAAATTTAACGTCTTTTACAGGATTATTTTCAACCAAATGTATAACTGATTCTTGGACAAATCATCTTTTTCTTATTTAAGAATTGCAGGTAAGTATAACAATAATGTATGTAGTAGTAGCATACATATGCAGTGCTGTACAGAGGTAGGTTTAATGTAGGGATGTGGTTATTACAGTGAGTTGGTTAATTACATTTTACCAACAGGTAAAAGCATGTATTTAGTAAGTGTTAGGTTCAGTGGTAGGTTTAAAGATTTGTAACATCAGAAATGTGCACTTTCACGCAGAAGAGCTTGACTCATTTTGACAAAAAGAAATTAAAAGATGGAAAAATGAAGTTAGATAAAATGTTCGAGGCAATTAAGACCTCACAAATTCAAATTTAAGACTATTAAGGCCTGTTCATTATAAGCCTTTTGAATAACCTGCAGACACCCTGTGTTAGCATTAAACATGAACTTACATCTTATTTGATTACTTATTAGGTTAAACATTGCTGTATTTTTGAATCAGGTTGTTACAGTTCTTTGGTTTAATCATCAGTGTATGGCTGTGGGATTTTTCTGTTACTCTTCCTGCTGGTTGCCATGTTCAATATGTTCAATATGTTGCCATAACAACCTGAGTCACGTGGATTTGTTTTTCTCTGGCATCTTGAGGTTGTTTTCATTCTTTCAGTGCACGTAACAGAAACGCCCATCAACTTCTATTAGAAAAACAGGACTTAACTTTGGTGACTTCTGTGCACTTCTATGTAGATACTGGAAAAACATTTCTAGACCCAGTTTCCCATAATTTTCAGACGTGTGCTGGTAAAACTATGAAGCTAATCTTACTGCAAACACAGATTAACACTGAACATCGAACTGAACAGCACACCATGTTTGGAGAAGTTCCCTGCCTGTCTTGACATAGTAGCTGAAATGTTAAAAAATTAAACAGCGGGGTCAGAAGTGACTCACGGCAATATAATCATCTAAACAAGGCACTAGAGGGAGGGATGCACCCTGGCGCCATCAACTGGACCCCTCGTCTGGGATCAAGTCCAAATAAGCCTCAAGTCACTCCTTCTCTCACAGTCCTCTCCCCAAACTCATCTCTCTCTCGCTCCAGCCCTCACCCAATGCACCCGACCCCCCTCCTTTACGCATACACACACTCACACATACCCAGGCACAGTTGGCAGCCCCTACCTAAACATATTCACACATCACATCACTGCTCAACACATGGCTCTTTGTACCAGCATGATTGGAGGTACAGGGAACAGCACACACACTCACACGTATATACACACACACACACACACACACACACATACATACACTGAACTTTTAGGTGAAACAGCCATCCAGTCTCTCCTCCATCAGGGCCCCCTACTTGCCCACAGCACAGGCGTGCAATCAAAAGGGCTATGTCCACATGGAAAATAGCCCTAGTTACCAAAGTACACAAATAAAAGTGAGATGGTCAATATTTCACAGGAATGTCTGTACAAATGTCACATTGTTAGCTCAAAGGATTAAGTCTCTGAAAACTGAAGATTCTTAGCTAATGCATACTTTGTGAAAACATTTTTGGCAGCCAATTTCTCAAACCGCTGGGAGAAAAATGGCCCTGCTGGAGCACAAGAGAGCGAACAGTTAACAAGAACAGTTAGATCCCATAAAAATCAACATCACGCCGGACGTTGTGTGACATGTTTCTGCCTCGCTTTTCACAATACACTTGGTCAGTGGATGCATCAGTCATTTCTCTAGCATCACTGGCATGAATAGTCTTTGTGTGATGGGTGAACTGGCTCTCAGCTGCCTTACAGAGTGCCTTTAAAAAGGCCTTACACTCCTCCAGTTTCCCAAGTACTTTAAGATGTAGAAAGACACAGAGACAGAACATTGTTCAAGTGTCGCTCAGAAGAGGAAAACGGCCATTTATGGCAGTCAAAACAAGAGAGCAGCATCTTGTAAACAAACATGTGACTGTGTGTCATGGTATTCATCAGCTCTCCACAGCTTCCCTGCCTTCCCTTTGTGGGGAGACCACCATCCCCTTTAAACGGCTCATAAAATAAGTCACTTCCCTTTGACATTGTCCTGCCTCTCAAACTCTGTTCTCAGAGGAAGGATGGTGGGGGAGGTGAAAACGCCTCACAGACAAAAACCAGATTAGACACCTCACCGCCCCCTCTGCCTGCCATCATGTGCCCCTGAACCAGACGGACCTCGGGGTGCCCCCCACCCCACCTCCGCCTCGACCGCCACCACCCTGTAGGCTGAACCAGCGAGGTCAGGGGTTAACAGCCACTCCTCTGAGAGAGGTCCTGTCCTCTGACCCCCCTCCCAGTCCGCCAGCCAGCACATCCACCACCACACACAGTATCTCAGCCCCCAAGCCCCAATCACTCCAGTGCTAACACCACCAACACATATACAAAAAAAAACCCTCCACACATACAAGCAGTGAAGAGCCGTAAAAGTCGCACACACATGCAAAAAATATAAATAGTAACCTTAACATATACTCCAATCTGAAGTCATAAAAGTCCCTCTAGGATTATTTCCGTACCCTTCTGAACTCAGGACATCACTAAAACTGCTAAGGGAGCTGTGAGGGAGGCCATGGGGTACCGCATGTCACGAACCATTCACCAGCGTCTGTCACTAATTGGAGCCTGGTGGTCTGAACTGAACCAAACCTCCGAGCTTTCACACAAACATTTGCAAATAATTAAATGATAAACTGTATGATGTTCATAGTCCATGTATATACTAATCCAATCCCAGTGGAATGTAGGTAATTTGAGATGGTGAATACCAGGGCAATTTTATTTCTGAACGTGTGAACATGTTCCAAGTCTTTCCGATTGATCTTCAAATGTCCAGCATATAAAACTCAGCCCCGAACATACTCCGCAGTGTAAAGTATGCAAAACAACACTTATAAATACAAAGGTTGCCTATTAATTGGCGTATCATGCTCCCTGCTGTAACATGTAAAAGGAGAGTGCTGCCAGTCTACTGAGCATTACTCACACAGACTGTTGTAAATTTGCACACCCTGCAGCCATAACATTCTCCTCTTGCTTCTCACCTCTGTCTAGAGTGTAATTATCCTGAGGGGGGTT